CGCGATCCTCCGACCCCATCTATTCGGACCCCGTGAAGGAGGCCTCTAAATTAGCTGACCTGATACGCCCGTGTTGAAACGCAACTCGTACCGTGATCGAGACGTCTGTGTTAGCACGCTGCGTGTTGGCTCGGCACGCGTCTGGCCACGTTTTTCGGCGAGCGTCTCGCGCCAGACCTGCGCTTCCAGCCCACGTGTTGAGCTCCGTGCCAACACGCTGCATGTTGCGTGTTGCGCACTGGGGCAGCGAAGCCGCTGGAGGTCCTGTACCGTTGCCCGGGGCCTTCCCCCAGGACTTGGCATTGCTCGGACGTGTGCATTTTTCCGTCGGGAGGACCATTCAGGAGCATCCCTGATCATTTGCCGAAAAAACCGGGCACGAAACCGCAAACAACACAGGGAATGGACGTCCGAGCGATGGCGAGAGGACCAGTCTTGCGCCCCGAGCTGGTTTCAGACAGTCCCTGAGGCCGCGGGAGGGCTCAGGAAGGCCAAAGCCGCAGAACCATCTCCTCCCCCTTCTCCTCCTCCTCCTCCTCCTCCTCCTCCTCCTCCTTCTCCTCCTCCTCCTCCTCCCCTCCGCCTCCACCTCCTCCTCCTCCTCCCCCTCTCCTCCTCCTCCTCCTCCTCTTCCTTCCCCCCTCCTCCCTCTCCTCCTCCTCCTCCCCTCCTCCTCCCCCTCCTCCTCCTCCTCCTCCTCCTCCTCCTCCTCATCCTCCTCCTCCTCCTCCTCCTCCTCCTCCTCCTCCTCCTAACCAGGGTATTTTAACTCTCCTCCTCCTCCTCCTCCTCCTCCTCCTCCGCCTCCTCTCCTCCTCCTCCTACCCGTTCCGTTAGGACACGCTGGGGCCATGCCAAGGATGGCCACCACGAGGGAGGTCGCCCGCTGTCTCGAGGGAGCGCCACTCCCCTCTGGGAAGCGGCCCTCCATAGCACGCCTCCTCCTCCTCCTCCTCCTCGCTCCTCCTCCTCCTCCTATCCTCCTCCTCCTCCTCACCCCTCCCCCTCCTTCCTCCTCCCCTCCTCCTCCTCCTCCTCCTCCTCCTCCTCCTCCTCCTCCTCCTCCTGAGCCCTCAGAACGATGCCAGACGTACAGAAACCTTCTCGAGCTTCGACCCCGGAGCCCCGATGCTTCAAGGAGGAGCTGGTGATGCCCTTCTGGCGGTGGCCCCCCTTGGCACTTCCCGAGCTTCCTGGCGGCAGGGGCCCCTCGTTGTCGTGGAGCGCCCCTTGCAAGACTTGGCACCCTCCAGCACAGCGCCCCCCTGCGGAGGGGCCGTGTCAGAAAACGGCTCAGGACGAAAGACCGGTCCTGGGGAAGGGGTCCAGACCTCTGGGGGTCGACGCTGTGATAAAGATCACGACGTCGGGGGTCTGGAGGAGGAGGAGGAGGAGGAGCGGGGAGGAGGAGGAGGAGGAGGAGGAGGAGGAGGAGGAGGGGGATGAGGAGGAGCAGGGGAGGAGGAGGGGAGGAGGGAGGAGGAGGAAGAGGAGGGGGAGGAGGAGGAGGAGGAGGAGGAGGAATGGGATGAGGAGAGGAGGAGGAGGAGGAGGAGGAGGAGGAGGAGGCGGAGGGGAGGAGGAGGAGGAGGAGGAGGAGGAGGAGAGGAGGAGGAGGGAGGGGGAGGGGGAGGGGAAGATAGGAAGAGGAGGAAGAGGAGGGGATAGGGGATGAGGAGGAGGGGGAGGGGGCACTCCGCGTGCGCGCGGCACCGCTTCGACCGGGGGCCCGGAGCCAGCCGCAGCGTCCGGGGCCTGGGCAGCCGCCGCCCGCGCGCAGGGCGCGGGGGCGCAGGGTGCCGCGCCCTCGTCCTCGTCCTCGCCGCCCTCGTCGTCGTCGCAGTCCTCTCCTCGCCCTCGCCCTCGCCCTCTTCGTCCTCGCCCTCCTCGCCCTCCTCGCCCTCCTCGCCCTCCTCGCCCTCTCAGGAGCAGCGGGCGCCGTCGGCGGACTCGCCCCGGCTCTCCCCCGGCGGCGCCGCCGCGGAGCCGTCCGCGGAGCCGGCGCCCGACTTCTCCAGCCGCTCCCCCGCCCCCATGACGGGGGGCACCGGCTGTGCACCCGCACCGTTAGGGGAACGAACAATGACACAAGCATAAAAACTCGGAGGTCCACGCGGACCTCCGAGTTTTCATGTTTGTGTCATTGCTCGTTCCCCTAACCGTCCCCCAGATTCGGGGCGGACGAAAGGGGGGGATAGGGAAAGGGGGGGGGGTACGAATTCTGCTGCATGGAGCTGGTTTCGGCCCCACCGAGGGGCCCATGCCTCGATGCATGACCGCCTCCCGACGCCGGCAGGTGCCCGGAAAATCAGCTGCGTGAGCTGATTCTCGACCCCCCCCCGTTGCTATCCCCCCGCCTGTCGCGCGGCCTGACAGATCTCCGACGACCTGCCCCGGTCCCCATCTCCGAGGATGTTTCCCAAGCCTCCGCTGCTGGGCTCCTTCGCTTTGCGTCTGGCACCGTGGTCGTGGCTCCTTCCTCCTTCCCGCCCCCTTCTTGTCTCTCTACTTCTCTCCGACGACCTGCCCCGATCCCCAGATCTCCGACGACGCTGTTTCAGCTGCAGAGTTTTGGTATTGGGCCCCGGAGCCAGGGGTCGGGACCTCTGGGGCCGAGGATGGAAAACATCATGTCGTCGGATGTCCGGGTCCCAGCCAGGCCGACCCCTGGCCCACGGAGCGGTGCACACGCGCGTCTCCCGGCCCTGCCGGGCCCCCCCCCCCTCCGCGACCGCCCTCGCCCCTTCCTCCCCGTCCAGCTTGTGTGCGACCTGCTTCGCGACGCCGTGCCCCGGTCTCGCCCCGACGCGCGTGCGGAATGCCTCTGCCGCGCTGCGACGTAAAAAGTCTTCCGGGCCAAGCGCCGATCCCGGGCCCATGCTGGGCCTGGCCAGGATCGGTGTAAGCGCCCAGACACCCAACCACCCTGTGTTGAGTCGGGTCCTCGTTTTGAGTCCGCAGCCCTGGGCGTCTTCCCTCCCTCCTTCTCTCCTCCCTTCCCTCCTCCTCCTCCTCCTCTCCTCTCAGCTCCCCCTCATCTCTCCCACCACCCCTCTTTGGCACCCCCCACACGATTCGTAGGCACAGAGGGAGCTCCACCTAAGTCCTCAGTGGTTGCGCCCGCATGCTGCCACCACCCCACGTTGGCACACTCCTCACGCGATTCGTGGCCCTATGGGAGCTCCACCTAAGGCCCCAGTGATTGCGCCCGAATGCCGCCACCGCCCCACTTTGGCGCAACCCTCACATGTTTCGTGTTCCCATAGGCAGCTCCACCTGAGGTCCCAGTGGTCGCGCCCGCATGCCGCCACATCACCATGTCGACAAACCCCTCACACGCCTCGTGGCCCAATAGGTAGCTCCACCTACTGCCACAGTGGTTGCGCCCGCATACCGCCACCACCCCACTTTGCCCATAGTGTGCGCCACCTCTAAGGTCCCAGTGGTAACGCCCTAATGCCCCCCCCCCCCTGGCGAGCGCCCCTTGCAGGTTTCGTGGCCCCACAGGGAGCTCAGCTCCACTTAAGGCCTCAGTGGTGGTGCTCAGATGCCCTCTCCTCATACGTTTCGTGGCCCCCCTGGCGAGATGCACCTAAGGCCCCAGAGGTTGCGTTCGCATGTCTTCTCCAGACCAATTCGGCGCGCCTCTCACATGCTTCGTGGCCCAAAAGGAAGCTCTACCGAAGGCTTCTGTGGCAGGAATCGTATGCGTGACCACCCCCATTTCGGCACGCCCCGAACACGTGGCCCCATATGGAGCTCCACCTGAGGTCCTAGTGATTGCGCCCGCATGTCGCCACCTCACCATTTCGGCACACCACTTACACGCCTCGTGACCCCATAGGGAGTTCCGCCTAAGGGCCCAGTGGCTGCATTCGCATGCCTTCTCCAGACCATTATGCCATACCACACGTTCCGTGGCCCCACAGGGAGCTCCACCGAAGGCGCCAGTGGCAGGAATCGCTTGCCCGACTGGCTGTTGCTGGAAGTGCATTGTGGCCCAAGGTGCCCCCAAGGATCTCCAAGAGGGGCTCATCGGCCTCCGGAAACGCCCCTCACGAGGCCCAGACCCAGACCCCCAGCGTCTTGATTTTTTCATTTGACCCCCTGCTGTTTCGACACCTTCCCCGGGACCGGCTTTCCCTCGGGAGTCGTTTTTTGACGGTCCAGAGGCCCGGGGGCTCCCAGAGGCCGAGCATGGCGGAGAATCTCCGTCGTGATTTTTGCGCGGCGCGAGGGGTTCTGGGGACGGCACCAGGGGCTCCAGAATGGAGCGAAAGCAGCTGGGTGCACCCTGGGCCAGAGAGGCACCCTGAGCACCCCCCGGAAGGGGTGGCCCTCGCAGCGGAGGGACGCCAGCAATACACCACCACCAGCCCTGGCCAGGCCCACCCCTGGCCCTGGACTGCTGTGCAGACCTCCAGGCCTAGGCCAGGAGGGCGTGCACACCAGTGGCAAGTGCCTCCCGAGGCCGAAAGTCTGGAGAAAATAAGAACCGTCGTGATTTGTCCATTGCCCGAGGGGGTCTGGGTTGAAGGAGCTATCCTAGGTCATCCCCAGGGGCGAGGAGGAGGAGGAGGGAGATGGGTAAGGAGGGGAGAGGAGGGGGCGAGGCGGGGAGGAGGGGGAAGGGGGGAGGAGGAGGGGAGTGAGGAGGAGGAGGAGGGGAGGAGGTAAAAAAAAAAAAAAAGGAGGAGATGAGGAGGAGGAGGAGGAGGAGGAGGAGAAGGAGGGAGGATGAAAGGAGGAGGAGAGGAGGAGGATGAGGAGGAGGGGAGGAGGAGGAGGAGGAGGAGGAGGAAGGAGGAGGATGAGGGAGAAGGAGGAGGAGAGGACGGGGAGGAGGAGGAGGATGAGGAGGCAGGAGGAGAGGCAGGAGGAGGGAGGAGGAGGGGGAGGAGGAGGAGGGTGAGGAGGGGGAGCTCCCCTATCGCAGCTGGCGCCCCCCGGCCAGCCGCGGCTCCACGCCGCCCCCGCGCTCCTGGCCGCTCCCGCCGCACATGGCCGCGCGGCGCGAGGGCGAGGCCGCGCCCCGGGCCGGGCGCGCGGGCGCCGCGCTGCCGCCCGCGGGGGAGCCCCTGCAGGCGGCCCCGCGCAGGGGTTAAGTCGGGCACGTCCCTCTGCAGGAGGAATATGCAAAACATGAGCCAGACACCGTAGGTGTGTATATTTCTATATATAAACATATAGATACACAGATATACATACCCACGCTTTGTTTGTAATATGTATATATACGGTTCATTTTATATTTACATACATACACTCTATAAATACGATATACATATAAGCGTATATAATACAGAACGAATTGTATAGATATACATATGTATAGAGATATTCTGTTATGTTTTGACTATTCGTTATTTCTCGTCCAGAATCCGCCTACATGGGGGACATGCCCGACCTGACCATAGGGGGGGGAGTCTGTGCCGCGGGGGGGGGGGGCGGGTCCCGAGGGAAGCGGGTCGCCCAGACCCCACGGGCAATGGAAATATCACGACGGGAGGTGTTCTCCATATTTTCGGCCTCTGGAGGCACCTGACCGGGCCTCGGGGCCGTCAACAAAAAGACTCAGGACGAAGATCCAGTCCAGGGGAAGGGGTCGAGACCTCTGAGGGTCGACGTTCTGGAAAAAAACATGACGACGGGGATCCGGGCCCGAGGGACGCAGGTCGACAGGACACGGGAGGCGTTCCGCAAACATTTCAGCAGGACGATGATGGGGTTGGAGAAGTGAGGACATCATTGCCCGCAGTCGGCCGAAGGTGTCGTTCATGGCATGCGGGTGCGATTGCTCATGCCCTGCATCCTCCCACCCCCTGCCTCCCAACGTGATACCTGTTCTCCTCGAGAAGGGGCTTCGCCTTCGAGGGTCGAAGGAGTTGCCATCTCTCCCGCGGCGGTGGGCGGCGGAATGCAGCGGAAGTAAAACGAGGCCGCCTCCACGGGCGGAAGCCGGCGGAAGGGCGGCAGAAGGTGCCGGAAATGAGACATGTTCCCCGAAAAAGACGAAACCATGTTTGGGTTCAGGGTTTCCGGAATCCGCCACGTGGAGCCAGATTTTAGTGCCATTGCAGCTTGATGGTAGATCGCTCGCGCACTGCTGCCATCTGCAGCTCATCAGCGGACTGGCAAGCCCCAGAGGCAAAGCTAGTCATCGCATTCACGTGTTTCTGCACAATAAGATTGCCACGTCGACGGCCCCAAGACGGCCCCAAGACGGCCCCAAGATTGCCCCAAGACGGCCCCAAGATGGCCCAGGATGGCCCCCAGAGGCGACTTGTTGGAGGCCCTCGGGGGCGAGGGGCCACCCTAGGACCGTGCGGACGTCAGAAAGGCGATTGGGGGGCCCTCCGGCAGGCATCTGGGACGGGCCGTTTGGCTCGCCAAGGGTGGAGCGGGTCCCGAGGGGACACGGGTCTTGAAAGTTTTTGCCGTGTTCGGTCTCGCGGGGCCCTCCACGGAGCCCTGGGGCCGTCCGAAAACAGCTCGGGATGAGGATCTCGAGCCGGGGGGAGGCCCCAGGGGCCAGGACCCGTTTCCCTCGGGACCCGTCTCCCCCGCGGTAAGGTGTTAAGGCCCAGTAAAGCACCCCCCCCAAGTTTTGTTCAGTGCGTCGCCCGTGCGTCGCCCGTGCGCCGGCCCTGGTTTGCGTCTCTGTCCCTAATCCCGGTCTCCCAGAGTGCTTCGGCGACATGTTGCGCGACTTCGGGATTTCGTTGGCGACATCCCCGACATTTCGTTCGCCCCGACCACCCCTTACCAGGTAAGGGGTGGTCGGGGCGCCCGAGCCCAGTAGCTAAGTCGTCTTTCTGCTATGAGTGCGGCGGCTGCGGTGCTTGAAGCTGAATGAAGGTACGGTCGGACCGAGGCATAGGATCGAGTTCGGTTCGGGGAGGGTGCACTGATGTTCTTCGTGTTTGTTGGATGTTCTTGTGCACCCTGGGGAGATCTGGTTGACCCAAAAAGGGGTCCAGCTACAAGGGGGTGGTGCAATTTATGTGGTGCTATATATGTGGGTTGCAATAGATTTGGGGCGTGCAATACACTCGGGGGCGCCAATGTATTGCTGGATTTTCGCGTGCAATACATTAGGTGCAATATAATGCAATCCAATTCCCTGGCGCAATACATTTGCAAAACAATTGCCCCGAGTCTATTTTACCACCCCCTTTCAGATGGACCCCCGTTTGGGTCAACCAAGGGAGGGTAACCTAGGATGTTCTGTTTGGGCCGATGGAGGTTCTGAGGTTCTTGAGGGCTGTTCTTCTGGCCCAGGTCCGACTGCAATCATGCTGCGATTCAGGATGAGTATACGTACGCGGTCATCGATGAAGATAGGTGGCCCAGGGAGGTGGGGCGCCCTCCGGGAGCTAGGATCAAAGCTCCGAGGCTCGAAGTATCGAGGCCGGATGGTCGAGGCTCGAGGTTTCGCCGGCCCTTTCCGGCGCCACGTGGTGTCCGTTTCCGCTTTGTGCCCCGGCCGCTCTGGCTTGGGGGCGTAGCTTGGCTTCGCAAGCGTTCCGCGCCTGCTTCTCGAGCAGCCAGGGCAAAGGCACCCTGCTGCTTTTCATTCTTCAGGAGGAGGAGGAGGAGGAGGAGGAGGAGGAGGAGGAGGAGGAGGAGTTTTGTGGGCGTCCTTCGCCCGTTCTGGGCCTCGAACTCCTGGCCAGAGTGCCTCCTCGAGCAGCGGAGCAGCTGCAGGGTTCGACTTCTCCTCCTCCTCCTCCTCCTCCTCCTCCTCCTCGTCCTCCCTCCTCATCGTCTCCTGCTCCTCCTCCGCCTCTGTCCTCCTCCTCCTCCTCCTCCTCCTCCTCCTCCTCCTCCTCCTCCGTCCTCCTCCTCCCTCCTTCTCCCTCCTCCTCCCTCCTCCTCCTCCTCCTCCCTCTTCCTCCTCCTCCTCCTCCTCCTGACCCCTGGACTCTGACGTGCTCGCGTCGTGAAGCAGTCGGTCGCGACGGGAGGCTTCGGGTCGTTTTCGGGCCCTGGGGGCCACCGCCCGGCCCCAGGGCCACTCAGAGACGACGCGCGATGACAAGCCAGCCCTGGGGAAAGGGTCGGGGCTGCCGGGGTCCCCGCATGGACAAGGTCGGGATACAGTGGAGACCCATGCCAAGAAACACCCTGCTTGCCTCCAGGGTGCCCTGGGTTTCTTGGGTTTCGATGGTTTCGCTATGGGACGCATGACGTCTCGGGGTCTCAGGGTTGGGTTTCTTGTGGCAGGTTTATTGTCGACTTGCCTCCACTGTATCGAGTGTCAGGGTCGGGAAGTGCCAAGGGGGGTCACCGCCTCCCAAGAAATCCTCTGGAAGCTGGAATGATCCTTAGGAGTCCATGGGGATCCATTGGAAGCCTCAGGAATCCTTCAGAACCCTCAGGAGCGTGTTTTTTATGTTCGTTCTGGCAAGTTTGCTTGCATGGCGCTTCGCCCCCTCCCCGTCTTCGCCACCGTTTCACGCGGCGGTGGACCATAATGGCGTTCAAGTGATTCCCGGCTTGCTCGAAGTCCAGATTTTAGTGCGGGTTTCGCCGCCCCCCACCCCTCCCCCACCATGAAAGTAAACTTGCCAGAGTCTAGAGCAAATCCTCTCTAAGGAATTGGCCCTCACCGCCATGAACTCGGAAAGCGTCAAGCCCAGACCCCCTCGGGTCGTAAAAAAATAGCGATGCGCTGTTTTTCAATTTTCAGATTCTTGGGGCCCTCGCTGGGCCCCATGGCCATCAACAATAACGACTTGCAATGAAAAACCAGCCTTCGGGAAAGGGTCGGGTCTTCCAGGGACCCCATACTGAAAAAAGGCAGGACGTCGCATGCCTGGAGCGGGAAGTGCCAAGGGGGTCACCACATCCTACAGAATCCTCTGGAAGCAATAGGTCGCCTCACTGCTCCATGGAGATGCATAGGAAGCCTCAAGAATTCCCAGGAATCCGCAGAAGTCGGTAGGAACTCCCACGAATGACTAACAATCCATTGAAATCCTCCAAGAAGCCTTCGGAATCCTGAAGATTTGATTGGGAGATCTTGCACGGGCCATTCGACATTTGCATTCGCACTGTACGGGTGCCGTCCCCCGTCGGTTTCGCTACTCGGCGCGTGTTTTTCGGGATTCGCTTTGGCGTCGGTTCGCTGTGCTGCCGTGCGCGCGTGGAGTGCCCCCCCTGGCAGCTTTCACGAAAAGGCGGTTTGCCAAAGGGTGCTCTGCTGAGCTTCGAGTTGGGGGCTACTGGAGGGGCCCTTCTCTCTAGGCCTTCTAGATGGGGTCGGAGTAGATGGAGTCCGGGGATCGCGCCGCATCGCCGATGCATCGGCGATGCGGCTCGATGTGGGTCCCAATTTTCCCCACGCCGACGCCTCCGATGCACCGCCGAAGTCGCCGGTGCATCGCCGAGTGTTCTTGGGAGCCCACTTCCTAGAGTCTAGGCCTCCTAGATTGGGTCGGAGTAGATGTCATGAAGCTGCGGCCCCCGAGCGGATTTGCGGAGCGATTTTGTGTTTTCCCGAGGCAAAAATATGATATTTCCAAGTTTTTCGCTTTTTCTTTGTTCAGAAGTTGTTGTGCCGCCGACTCGTTCCGATGTTGGGCATTCGGCCTGCGGCTTGCGCGCAATCTCGGTTCCGCGCATCATTGAGCGGTGTCGCCCCCGGTTTGTTTCCGCCTCGTCTCTCTGCTACCATTTTTCTGTTAAGTTCAGAACCGCGTTTTCGGGTATCGTTTCAGTTCGCGGTGGCCTCTTCGGGGGTCTTGTGCGCGTCGTGGGCCGTCTGGAAGCCATCGTGGGTGTCGCGGATCGATCGGTCGACGACTCGGAGCTCTCTTGGTGTCTTGGGCGCCTCTTGGGGCTCTTTTGGATCGCTGTGGGGCGCCTGAAAGCTGCGCCCAGGAGGAACACCACCTCTGGCCCGACCTGGCTGGGGTACTTTGCGTCTGCGGCCCCTAGGGGCCGCCGCGCGCGCGAAGTAGAAATGCTGTGAGGCAGTCGCCGGAGACCTTCGCGCGCCTCTGGCCCGTTGGGCCGGCGAGCTTCCCCCGAGAATCATGTCCAATGCGCTGTGAGGCGCTCGACGAATTTGCGGGCCAAT